TACGGTCTGTGAAGGACTTAAACTTATGTATGTAAGAGTTATGTAAGTGCGGAAATGCATTTAAAGGTTGTACGTAATTACAAAAATTGCGCGCCATGTCTCGAAGTCTACAAATGAAAAAAGGCGGGAGAAATTTGACAGTGACAGCTTGCGTAAACGGCTGCAGATACGGATATAGAAACGCAACGTTGTGGATATAGAAACGCAACGTTATTAATCACTTATACCGCGACGTAATAAATCTGACAATTCAACTTGTAATAATATTTTAACGGATATGTAATTATACTTTATGAAGGCTGATAGGTAACAGGAAAACGTACAGTTTTTATTAATTCAACTGAAGCATCTGTTCTTGTCACTATTAAAATGGCGCACTGCGAGTAGTGAACTGTTTAAAGAGTGATGAACAACAAATGTCCATTTGATATAAAAGTGAACGAACAGATAATTATGGTCCGTTGGAATTGTAAAGTTTTGTTTTACTAACCGTAGAGCTCGTTAAATATTAGCCAGAAGGGATAACAAAGAAAACTCAATTGGCACCGGAACGGAAGAGAAATATGAGAATCGCGATGGAAAATAAACATAGGATACTTATATGGATAAATTGAGGGTAACACGATACTTTTGTAATACGAATAGGAAAGTGATCACTTTAAAGTATCAATGACGAATGTCATTATTTTTTGAATAATTACGAAGAGTTCCTTTTTAAGTTGCAATCTGAAAATAGTAAATATTGGACATCCGGCGTGCTTCGATGCAAGGCCACTGTCGAGTTGTCTTTAAGAACTCAATCCAAATGGCAATTCAAAAAGGCTGTTTTCTCGAATATGTAGGCTTGCCATTAGGGTTTTCTCGAACGTTCTCTTTTTCCAAACTAAGCGTCGCTTGTATTTTGGGTACTAAATAAACCGATAAAAATACTTTTATTTTTGTAATTAAATTCATATTACATATCAACAGCCTGACTGGAAACACACTACACTATGTTCATCAACATAGTGTAATTAACTATATAACAATATTGTACCAGTAGTGGGGATCGAACTCACAACGGCCGTCAATCGGGTCCTATTAGGCATTATGTTAAATCTACCTCCTTCGACTATGTTTTCATCACCTGTCTGCCTACGTCGCATCTTCAATGATTCAACGAGCTCCGCGCAAATCCGGGGGCGGACATTAGTCACGTTGACGTGGGTCAAGGATGCTGGAAACCGGTTGCGAATTACCAGCGGCCTTTCATTCATGAACACGCCATGCGTCAGATCGATTAACATTCGTCATTTATCTCTGGGCCGTGTTATAAGCAAAAATAAACAGTAAAATAGCCTATATTTATGTCCCACTGCTGGGAAAAAGTCTCATCTGTACAGAGGGTATTAGGCCATAGCCACGCGACCCCACTGCGGATTGGCGGACTTCGCATATCTTCGAAACGTTTTTTTTTATCATTTCGAAAATATGCAGTCTTCTTCGATGTTTTGCTACACTGAGCGCGTGATAAACCAGCACTTAAAATTTATCGTTAAATATATAGTATCGTTGGTGTCAGCACCGGGGATCGAACTCGGGTTGCTCGAGTATATTGAATTAAAAGCAAGCGCCCGGCCTATAAACTATCACAGCTTCTAACTATCACAGGTCACAACAGCCAATTTGTATTTAAAACAGAGGATGCCCACCGATATGGCGGATATGAGCTGGTGGCTCCCGCCAAGTTGACAGAGAAAACCTGGAAAATCATCCACAACAGCAGCCTTTTGGCCAGGTATTTAATTTAATTTACGTACTACTGTACAGAATTCAAGAACGATAAAGGTCACAATAGTGAATGTACGCAAGAATAAATGACAAAGCCACTGTCGATAACAATGCTATCTTGCATCGGTAGCTATCTGCGTCGGCGCCGTTAAGTTTTTAATGTCAGCGGGACTTCCTCGTTGGTATAACAACATTGCTTCTATAACTCAATTTGCCATTGAGCTACGGTGTTTGTGTAGTGTTAATTACATTATTTAATAAGTTATTAAAATCTAACGATTTCTTAAGTTCGTAAACACGAAAGTGGATATAACGCGATAAACTCCGTAGAGGTGTTTATTAAAGTTATTTCTGTTTACAAGGACGAACATAAAGAAAAGAAAGATTCGATAGATCTCATTAACTACAACATAGCCGTAACAGTTTGAGAAAAAAAAAATCGTATCATCGTATCTTCTCGCAATCCTTTTATAACAGTTCAACTAGTTTTGAAAAGAAAAGATAAACAACATTTATGAATGAATCATAGGCAGTATTTTATAACTGATGTGTAACCGGTTTAAAATGAGAACGAGACTCGAGAGTAAATGTGATAATAGATTTTTTTCATAATTCAGCCCCGTTCGAAAAAAACGCTTCAAAATTGTGCGTGCACTTGCGGCTGATAAAGTAATTGAGCGGACTTTATTCATAACATCGACATCCGCGCACCCAAGTACATTATCTCGTGGGATCGAACCCGGAACTCCGTGTTAGTACGCCGACGGCGTCGCCCGGCCGGAACACGCGAGGGCCTGCGTCGACGGTTCGCTAGTCTGCAAACTTTCGTTATGCATACATTACGAAGGGAAATTATAAGCCAAAAATATGTGGACAGTGTTTGTTAAATAATATAAACATATTAATAATACATTTACATTGTTAAAAAATAGGTATTTTTTAAAAACTAAAAAAAAAATTGGTCTACTAAAGGATACTATTTTATTTTCTATTCTGTATTTGATAAATATTAAACATGATTATTTAAAGTGCAACGCGAATTTTATCAGTTTAACATTTATAGGTAGATAAGGCCTTAAAATAATTTTATTTGTTTACTGAAGAACTTCTCAATGTTATCACATCTCATACTGGCCACAAGTGAAAAGTTCGCAAGACGATAAAAAAAAAGTAAAAAACCATTTGGCGCCATCTTTCATTGGCCCCGTCGGTTCCGCTTAAGTGAGTAAGCGATCGAGTTTCCTCCCACAGACACAGATGTCGTTGTTTCAAACGCCGGATGGGTAATTGTAGACTTTAAATGGAGGCTGTATTATTGCACTTACTGGTTAATTCCGTGGCACTGGGATATTACTGCTTCGTATTTAGCTTCATATTTTAGTAACATGATAATACGCAAGAATTAATTTTTCTCACGGAGTAAAAATAATTTGATTTAATTGAAACTTAGCCACCACTAAGTAGGATCGAATGACATGTATTTTTTTTTTTTATTTTAGCTAATATGCATAAATAGTACACTACATACATATAGTTTTAATTGATTTAGTTGATACATTGGACATCGTAGTGATTTACTTATTAAATAACTCGTTAATTAGCAATAGTAATGAACAATTTTACTCAAGTCATCAAAGAATTTTCATATTTCTAATCAACTAAATATTGCTTTACAAAATTTTGATGGGATATTTATAAATTTATCCACATTTTATTCGTATATTTGGCGCTTGTTTTATTATATTTTTATAATACGAAATACTGGAAAACTACGAATGCTGGAAATATACACGACTATATCATAGCTAAAAACTTCATGTATCATTCTATTTTGAAAACGGGGACAGGAAATTTCAAGACGCTTGAAAACTGTTCGCTTGTAATAACAAACTCACATATTATAATATGTTTATGTCGTTGTTTTGTTTTGTTGTTGCAACAAATACTTGTACGCTCTTGCTTCATTAGTTGCACTGCTGAATTTTATAGTTTTCATTTCGGTTTCCCAGTGAGATTCTCTGTTCTAACGTCAAATTTTTTACCTAAACGCTTTAAAATTATAATTAAATGTATGTATCCACGTAATATATTTTTCACATTTATAATTTTTGACTTGTTAATAAGACTTCATTTGACAAATGATATAATTAAAAATAGCTCATTGAGATCTCTGAGTGCGCTGTAAATATTCAACTCAATGATGTTTCAGACGTGGCTTTATATGGTAATAACACTTACCTCATCTGGACCACCCTAAGGGTCGCTGGTAGATGAAGTCGATGACATTAAATAGGCCCTTGTAAATCTTTTTGTACATAAACACCGTTCCTTACGCACATAAAATAATTTCCTAAGTAAATGGTAAATTGTTCAAATATACTACACTACTGCGCTACAAAAGAGAATTTTTAATAAATTTTATTTAGCGCAAATATTACGCATTTTAATAAAACTAATTTATGGATTTTACAGCGTTTTGAATACTTTATAGCAGTCGTGGCCACGGACCGGTCAAGTCCATGACCTCGAATGGTGCAGTTCGCGATAAAATTTCCAGAACACAAATCCCTTCTTTCGCCGACTGTTAGTAAGAAAATTGGCTGTTATTCCTAAGCTGTAGGGTGTAGTAGATGTCTATGGGCGGCGGTATTCACTTAACATCTGGTGAACCGTCTGCTTGTTTGACAACTTTTCGCATAAAAAAAAGCCCAAAACCTCCGACGCCGAGGCCAATAGCCTCGATCGTCGTGGGTTCGATTCCCGCACGGATCAAGTACTTGTGTGACCCACAGATAATTAATTGTTCCGGATCTGGGTGTAATGTTCCCAAGTAGGGTTGAGGTCATGCGCCGACCCTGTACCGACCTCACCTAGCTGGGATGAGGGCAGTGGTTTTTATCACTATTAGTAATCGTATATATATAACTACAGAGCGTCATCACTTTATTACCGTTTATTGTTAATATATCTGTATAATATACCATCATTTCAACTAAGCGTATATCGGTTATCACGTTCATGAGATACAGCCTGGTGACAGACGGACAGACAGACAGCGGAGTCTTAGCAATAGGGTCCCGTTTTACCCTCTGGGTACGGAACCCTTAAAACGACTTATACCGGAACAATTGCACCTTGGCCAACATTTTGCTATTTACCTTTCGATATCTCGTCAACATAGGTACTTTACAGACAGGAGCATGACGGTGACGTTTTTCAATCTTTCACAGTGGATCACCCCCGAGGAGTGCGCGGTGTACAGCCGCGAGCGCAGGCCGCCGCTGGTGATACCGCGGATCACGCAGTACCGCGCTCCCAGGCGCGAGATCAGGCCGCAGAACTTCAGCGGGCAGGGGTACGAGGTGAGTGACCTCCATGTATTCGCCTCATTGTAGTTAATAAAACGTGATATTCAAATAATTATTGTCTATCACATCAATACAAGGAAGTAAACCGCAGAGAAAAGAAAAAGATAAAACATACGGTCAATTTTGTATGTATATATAATACATACAGTAAGAATGATATTCTATAACTTTATTTTATATTTCTATGACTGCCATTTTTTATTTGAAATGAATCCAATACACTTATTAACATGATCAGCATACAGCGACTTTGTATCAATTTCATTCAATTAAAAAGTCAGTGGCTCCAGTATACGATGTGTGAATCAATGAACTTGTGGCGTCATTTGATAAAGTTAAATTCACAGCTTCAATGACAAGGGAAGTGCTGTATTACGTCTTAATGTCTTGATAACTTGCAGTACCAGTTAGTTTTAAAAATTGTTTTAGTGCAATGTAACCTTATTGGCTTCGGCGCAAGGGTCGGTCGTGGGTCCGATTATCACGTGTAATATAAAAAGTAATTGTGTGACCCACAGATAATTATACGTATCTGGGTTTCGCAAGTCTTATTCCCTGGTGCGTGTCGTAAAAAACCAGCCAATACATATTGTGCCAACCCTTTAGGTCGGAGAGGAGAAAGTAGAAGAAGAATTTTTAGTATAAAGTATCTCGTAAACTCTAACTGTATCTTGACGTCTGCAGTTATGGTGCGCTATGGTCTGAATTTATTAATCTTAGGTTCCTTGGATGCGACGAAAGTCCAAAATTTAAATTAAAGTCAATCACGTTAAAATCAAATACGACGGTTTCTTTATATTTTAAATTTATCGTTTAAAAATTAGTTGGTGTAGTTACACTGGAACTTTCTCAATTATTCTAATCAAAAGTTCGTACCATTGCAACGAATGTTTCAAGCTGTCTTATATTTGAAACCTGCGGTTATGTTATTGCATGGAATCTGGTCAGGACTATCGTTTCGTCTCAATATAAGGACATTATTGCCCGGTTTCTGAAACACTGATCATTGTAGAAATTAACTAAACTGATTTTTAAACTCTCTGAATTGATCAGAATGATCTTCTTAATGATCAGAATGATCGACTCAAAGAGTTTAACAATACTTTTGCCGAGTTCCTATACAGCCTTCAATAAAGGCTTTTAGTTTAAGCAGTCATACACAAATAATAAAAAACGATATATCGGGAGTGAGTTAATAAAATAACATTTTTAGTAATAAAAAAACAAATTTGTAAATTTTGTGTCAAGGTAATCCCGAACCGAATGCAAGAATAATTTTTAAAATTGGTTCATAAATGACGGAGTTCTCGGGTAACAAAAATAAAAAAAAACATGCAACCGAATTGGGAACCTCCTCCTTTTTTGAAGTCGGCTGAAAAGCACCATAGACAAACCATTTACGGTGAGACAAAGACATCGGCAGCACTCCCGGTGCGAGAGGGACAGGCGACCAATTTGCAAACAGAAAACCGATGAGTCAAAGGTCCCGGACGGGCAGCCCATAGTGGATTGCTAATTCGCCCGATTACCGATGACGCGTCTCTAATTATGCGCGCCAAACGACGCAAAATGGCGGCGGTCGCTTTCGCGCCATCGCCGCGTCCGCCTGTCTATTGAAACGTTTTAAATATATACGCCATGTTGGATGTGTTCTTGTGGAAAGAATTCTTACTTCAAAGAATTCATTAAAATTTATTTGAATGGAATTTGTTTGTTATTCTCATTAATTGCGACTGAGCGTGCGGTGAGTTAGTTGCTGTAGTATTAAGTTTAATCAACAGATAATAACAAGGCAAAATGCTGAATTGTGAAAAAAAATGTAACACATAACGGCTGACACCACAGTCTACCAGTGTGTAAAGAAGCATAGTTCTACGGTTTCCCTAATGATATCTGAACAGTAATCGTCTGCACAAAGAAAGGGTATTTGAATATTATATTGTGATAGAGCTGAGTAGAAGTGCCTGCTGTGGCATTAATGGGCAGGCCCGCCCCGGGACGTACTATGACCTCGCAGAAGGTCGTTCAGTCGAAGTATTTACAAATTGCATTTCTCTGGTGGTAACCGGGAATGTTGACTCTGAAGTTTGATAAACCATCAACAATACTTTAACATCAACTTGACCTTGATGGTTTGCCTGGTGAGTGAGGCTACCACGGTCCACTTTATTGAAAGGTGGCAACGCATTTTGTAACAACCCCACGTGTGTTGTAAATGTCCATGGGCGGCGGTTATCACTACGGTTATCAGCTGAAGCGACAGCTCGCTTGCCATCTTCTTAATTAAAAATGCATTATGCGACGAAGGTACTCTCAAAGTGAAGACAAACATTCGATAGTAACGGTTTAAGCTAGCCGTTGTGTAGGTACCAATACGTTCACGCTGAACACCGACCCAGTTTGCTACCAGGCGTGATTAGCGTCGATTCACAGCATTCGGTTATGTGAAATGTGCTATTGACGCGATTACACGGAGATCTCTCACCATATCCAGCCACGTTATACTGTGGGGCGTTCTGATTATCGTGGTATTATCACAGCCCTAATTTTGGCTTCTCCGGTTTTGTGCTACTTGTCTTTTGTCTCTGCGCGTTTGTAGAGATTTTTCACTTTACCACCGAAGTTGTTGCTAAGAAAGGTGACAGGTGACGAGCCTGCCGCGATTCTGGAATCAAGTGTTTCCAAGTCACCATTGCATAAGTTCCTATATATTGTACACTAGCTGACCCGGCAAACGTTGTTTTGCCATATAAACTATTTCTAGGGAATTTGTGAATCTGAACACAGAAAAAGAACTTTCGGAACGCACCCATAAAATGTTTTACAGGTAGGAACAGTTTGTATGGAAAAATTGTTGCTATTTCGATTTTCCATACAATTTTTCCATATTTTCTCATCGTTTAAACCAAGGAAGAGCAACGCGCGGCCCGCGGGCCGCTTGCGGCCCGTTGAACATATTTATGCGGCCCGCCAAGCATTTCTAAAATTGAATTTATTTTATCGAATTTCCCGGTGTCTAAGCCAATGGGTCGGATCATAATCTATGATCTAAGTACATATTATATAATGTCGATGATTACATTGAGGACAATGATTTGTGGAAATGATTCTTACTCTGTAATTGCAAGTCCCCTGGCCTGCTGATTTTATGCGTAACAAATTTTGTATATACCATTGAGAAAGAGAAGATGAGAAGACCGCAGAGTTTCTTCCCGGTTCTTCTCTGGACAGGTCTAATTTGGTGAACCGGTGGTAGTTTTTTTGACGTCTAATAAGAGCTTAAAACAAGCCTATATTTGAATAAAGTAATTTTGACTTTGAATTTGATACCTTAAGGATACCATCACAATGCATGACACCTGTATTCAGAGACTAAGATGGTATCTACTATCTGGATGCGAAAATATCTAAATACTAGTAGTATTTAGATATTTTCGCATCCAGATCTAGGTACTAAACTAGCGTGGTTTGTGGCTGAACCAGTCTAGGTAGACAATAATAACGTTATCAATTTTTGCTATTGTCTTGCTGCTTTGTCGTCACAACTTCCAAATCACACACATATGATTCATGGGTTTGAAGTAATTACACCTATTTGAATCAAAACGAAGTTAATTTTGTCTTATCTGCCAAATCGGATAACAGTCTGAAAACGAAGAACGATTATTTTTTAATGACTTCACGTATGGTTTATTATATATATATATATATATATATATATATATATATATATATATATATATATATATATATATATATATATATATATATCTATATATCTATCCTATATAGGAGAGATAGATAGATAGTGTGTCGTTACCATCGCGACAATAAATGAACACACGTATAGGGGATAACTTTTTAAAGTTGTATTAAACATTTAAATTCTTTAAACATCAATATTTACAGAGTTATTAAATTTTTCAAAACAAAGAATTTTAAAACACCCTTAAAAGCGACCTATAAAAAGACCTATAAAAGCGTAACGTAAAGTTCTATGAATGGGTTGAATGAATTTAAAAGAGACAAAACTGACTGTTAGAAGGAGAGGCTTGTAATACGAAGCTATGGCGCGAGTTGTATAGGATGTTAAAAATTTTGTTTCATTTTTACTTAATTAGTTTGTTTGAAAAATATTTCTTTTTTAATTATGGATTTTGTTTAATTTTAATATTATTTTATGATTATTGGCAAGTAGCGTTATACGTATGTTCATTTATTGTCGCGATGGTAACGACACGCTGTATATTATATCAAACTAAAAGTGTACTTTTATTCATGTTAATACTACTCTCAGTTAAGGGGTTAATTGGTTCAATTTCCTTTTAAAGAGTGTTCCACGCTCACTTCGGTCTCAACTAACAATTACAATTCGTACAACATTTAGGTTACGTGCGCATAGAAACGTTCGGTTCCATTGGTGCTGTTGTAGAGCACTGCCGATCCATTCCTGTAGCTGGGGCGCAATGAAAGTGGAAGCCTCGCGTGCACCGCTCCGCCCGCATACGGCAATCAGAGTCGTTATTAAATTGATAACGGAGGCGAACATTTCCCAACGTCGATTCGACGACCGAGCGCTGATAAGAGCTAGAGACGCCCGTCAACTGTCGATGAGCAATTAAGCGTAGCAAAGCCAAGCAAAGCGCTAAAATCGGCTTCGACGCAACGCTATTCCGTCGATGAATAATTCGACACTACAAATATTATTTCGTTTGAACGCGAACGCGACATATCCATCGTTTTTTTTATTACTTATATCGCGTTTGAGTCTAAAGTAGTTTCGGATTACAGCGTTAATCCTCAAAGGACTAATAATCCGCGAGATAAATTTCGTATAATTAAAAAAAATCAAAATCAAAAACTTTAATCAAATATTCTATAAGCTCCGGTCGTGCTGTAACTTAAGACGCGAACTTCCTATGTTACTCCAATGTATCGATAGATAAGTTCCATTCGCGCCATTCTCGGTCACCGCACTCGCCGCCATATGTGGC